CAGTAAACAAAATAGATAAAAATTCTGCTTGCGTTCTAGGGGAGGTGATAGATAATGAGCAACTTAATAAAAACTAAGGATGTTGGATAAATGCTATGGTGAGAAAGCAGGGAGGTGGTATCTGGTGGAAGGCAAGGAGCAAATTTAAATAAGGTCAATAGGGAAGGTCTCTCTGAGAAGACATCTGGAGAAAGACCCCCAAAAAATAAAGGAGCAAACTTGGAGCAGAGTGAAAGAGGGAGGGAGAGGTGGGGGAGGCCAGGGAGGTGATGGCAGGATGGAGTCTTGTGTGCATATAAGACTTGGGCTTATTTTCTGATCGTCCAGGACTGGGGGCAGTCAAGGAAAACTTCCTGGAGGAGGCAGTGATGTTTGTTTGGGGCCTTGAAGGCAAGTAAGAGTGTGACATCTAAAGATGTTAAGAAAGGCAGTACCATCTGGTGGTGAAAAACTCCTCTTTTGGAAGGAGACCCAGGTTCAAGTCCCAGCTCTGCAGTTGTTCCCTGTGAGACCTTGAGTAAGCTGCCCCGTCTCTCTGAGCCTATTTCCCCCTCATCAGTAAAGCACAATAATACTAGTCCCTACCTCGCATAGTGGTTGACAGGATGAAATGGGGCTGCACAGACCCTGGTCTGTGGCGGGGGCTCCATATATGTTTGCTGCCATCCTTCTGGGAAGGAGCACATTCCTAGGAGTGCCCTAACAGGGTCACCATGCCAGGCCTCATCTCTGCTTCCCTTCCCACTGGCCCCCAGCCCCCCCCGCCCACCTCCCGAGGGTCAGTTTGGTCCAGACACCAGGTGAGTAACCATGCCAGGGGCTGGGATCTTCCTTAAGAGAGATACAGAGTCTTGTTATCTACAGCCTGCCTCTCACCCCAGGGCCTTTGCACATGCTGATCCCACTCTCTTTGACGATCTTTCCCTCCCCATCCCCTTCCCTGATTATTTCTTAGTCATATCTCAACAGAAATGTCACTTATTCCAGGGAAAATGTCTCTGCACCCCATCAGGACAGGAGTCCCTGCTCCATGCTCTTATAGCTCCTGAACTTTTTTTTTTTTTTCTCAACTCATATCATAGTCTGGAATAATGTCTGTCCTTGCTACTAGACCACGAGACCGTGTTCATCTTGTACACGGCTGTGTCCTTGGTACAAAGGAGGTGTTCAATTTATAATTGTCAGCAAAAACCACAGTCTCAGTTTCAGATCACCCAGTCCAACCCCCCATCCACTATACATGAGGGACTCTGAGGCCCCATGTAGGTAAGAGACCTGCCACATTGCCTGGCAGTTCTCCTGCCCCAAGTTTGGTCTCTTCCCGAGACACCCACCAAGCAGCCCCTTCTCCTCGGGCCCCTCAGACTACCAGGGTTTCACCAGCCACCTCCCCAGATTAGTGGGGAGCCAACTCAAGGAGGAAGCACCAGGCCGAAGCACGTTTAATTTTAATTTAGGAATCGGTTAAGGCTGCAGTCCTGCTCAGCTCCAGGCTGTCATTCAGCCTTCCTCAAGGCTGCATCAATTAGTTTAAAAATATTGAATGTAATTTTGCCTGACACAACATATTGCAGCTACTGCAAAATATAATTTATTTTAGAAGAAGAAATAATTAAACTAATTTGCATGTCAGTCAGCTGAACTGAGATGCCAAGAGGGGAGGGCCGTGGGGGACCCAGTCCCTGATGGGGGCACCTGCCACTGGGCATCGGGTCAGCTTGGGCCTGGGTCTGAGCAGTAGCTGCCACTGGAAGGACAAACACCCAGGTGGCAGGAGGGCCTGCTGACATCATATCCAGACCAAGAACTGAACATGGAGTCAGTTGACTTAGGACCCAACCCCAGCTCTGCCACTGACTCACCTATGGCTTTAGGGAAAGTCCTGCTCCTCTCCAGACCTCAGTTTTCTTATTAACTAAATGGATTTAACAATACCTCCTTCATGGGGTGTTTAGATGATCAGATGAGGTCACAGATAAGAAAGAATGTTACAAATTGGAAAATCCTGCACAGAGCTCAAGATTAATCAACTGATAGATTCCTTGTTTTATACCAGAGACATTTAAAGTGGCAAAAATATAAATTACTATTATCAATTATTATAAATGATATTAATTGTGATCAGGAGGGGCTCGGAGGAAGCCCATCAGAGGCAAGACATCAGGTGGGACTCTCCCACTTGATAGTTGCCCCAGGGCAGTGGTTTGCATACCTTGCTACATGCTAGATTTCCTTGGGGGCTATTAAAAAACATCAGTGACCAAGTCTTGGGCATTGGTATTTTTTAAAGGCTCCCTAGGTGATTCTAATGTATAGCCAGCCTGGAGAACAACTGCCCCAATGTCAAGGGCATTGTATGCTGACCTGGGGCCAACCCAAAAGCTCTAGGGATTCTAGGTCAGCCCCAAATTCAGGGGTCCCTAGATAAGTTCTGCAGGTGGCAACTTTGGCAATTTAGAGGCATACCACTTCAGGGCTTACCCAGCTGCCCTGCCTCTTAGATCTGAGACCTCACTCATCCCAGACGGGTCAAGGCTTTCTAAGAGGAGACCTGTGAACTTTTAAAAGAGGAGTTAGGAGAAGCCCAGCATAACCCAAAGAAATAGTGCATAGATGGGGGTCTCACCAGCAACGGGACCTGCACTCCAGGAGAGGGACTTCCCATTGAGCAGTCCATCCTGCTCTGAGGTCTCCCTTCTGCATGGCCTGTAGGATCCGGTCTCCCCCTCAAGCCCCTGCACCTCCCTCCTCCACCACCCCCCATTGCAGGAGAGGGTGCCTGGGGAGGACACTTGGGCCCTGGCCACCCCACCATCCTCCCTCTGCCTCAGCTGGGAGAGAGGTGCCTGTTCCTGGCTTTGAGCCTCACCCTCCCTCCTCCTGAAAGCACCCACCGTCTGTCTGTTGAAGTTCTCTGGCAACACGCTCTTAAAAATAACAGCTCACCCGGCATTCCCAGTCACGACTCCCATCTCTCACCCCCAAAAAAGCCCCCTCTAATCGCTGAAGCAGCAGATCTGGGTGAGCTGTGGAGATTAAGTGCCCCTGGCTAAGGGGAGCTCCAGAAAGGGGTCAGGGTCTGAGTTAATTAAGGATGCACCCCCCTCCTCTCCCTGACCCCCCAGGAGGTGGCTGCACCTGCCTTTCAATCTCCATTTCTGTCTTTATCAACACATGAGCAGCTGCAGCCAGCATTCAGCAGAACCCCGAGTTCAGAGAAAGAAGCATCAGACCAGTCCCACACCCCACAAAACTAATGGGGTGCCATCTGCCTGGAAGCTTCCAGGCTGTCCACCAAAATAACTCCCTTCCAGTGCAGCCAGAGACCCCCGTCATCCAAGTCACTGCTTGGAAGTGGGGTATCGTTTCCTCTCCCAGGGGATGTTCCTGAGGTCACTTGCAGGTGGGACATGTCGGTAATGGACACATGGCTAAGACAGCTGAGGACAAAGAATCAAAGAGCACTCAGAGGTCCGGGGCTGCAGGGAGGCTAGAAAGGGCCGACATTCAGGATGCTGTTCAGAGAGGACAGGTGGGATGAGTATTCCACATCCTAGAGTCATTTAATGTCATTGTTGAAAGAACCCTTTGAGGACATCTGTTTATTTAACAAATACTTTTGTGGCACTTGCTATGTGTTATATACACAGTTTAAAGCATTTTTCCAGATATCAACTCAATCTGTCTCTTATCCAACCTGTTACTATTAGACCTGTTTTTACAGGTGAGAAAACGGAGGCACAGGAAGGTCAAGTGAGCTAGCTCAGATCACACAGCTACTAAGTGGCAGAGTTGGGATCAGAATCTCCCAGCTCCAGAGTCCTTGCTTTTAATCACTATACTCTGTTCATTTTCCAAGTGTGGAAACTGATAATGGAGAAGGTATAGTCTTACCCAAAATCAAACACTGGGTCAGGGACACAGCCACATCTGGGATTGAAGCCTCCTTTAGTCTCGATCCTTCCAGGCTTCATTCATTTGTTCGACAAATATATTAGAACCTACTCTGTGCCATATCCCACAATTCTGGGGGCCCAGAGATAAATAAGACACGGGCCTTGACCTCAGAGAGATCCCAGTTGGAGGGGTGGGGACTTGGTGGTTTTGCTGGCAAAGATCCATCTCCTTGGATTTGTCTGGCCCCTTCAGGATTGTGTCTCAAGAGAGCAGAGGTTTTAGAATTCAATCTTTAAACTTTCCCATGTTTTAGTTTCTCCTTTGCAATTTGGGGATATAAATTGTACCAAACCACAGGATTTATGCAAAGATACTTGAAATGCTGGATGTGGGTGCTCCAGGTGCACTCTGCTGACAGATGGAGATGGCAGTGGTGACGATAGTGTTGTTGGGGGCCGGGGGGAATGATGTGATGGTCATATTGGTGGTGATGGTGGAGATGGTGGTGGTGATATTGGTGATGGTGATGGGGGTGGGGGTGGTGGTGAGGGTGGTGACAGTGATGATCTTAGTATTTGTGATGGTGGTAGAGAAGAGGGTGGCTCTGATGGATGTGGTGGTGGTGGTAGTTCTATTCGTGATGGTAGTGATGGTGGTGAACTTACGGAGGTGATGGTGACAGCAACGGTGATGATAATAGAGTGTGATAGTAGTGAAAACAGTGATGGCGGTCCTGATAGTTATATTGGTTGGGGCAGTGATGATAATGCTAATGGTGGTGCTGGTAATGGCAGAGACGGTGACGGTGGTGGTGAAGCTAATGGTGTGATGGTGATAGGATGGGACTGGAGATTATGGTTGTGGGGTTGTGGTGATGATGCCAGTGGTGCCAGTGCTAATGGTAACAGTGGTGATGATAGTAATGGTAGTGGTGATGGTTACAATGATGATTACCCACTTATGCCCAAATGTCCCCAGTCCTGGTCCTTGTATCAGCTTGGTCAACCCATAAATCTCTCAGGGTCACCCCACTGCCTGATCTTGTCCTGGTAGCAGATCTCACACTTGGGGCCTCTCACCCCACTCCTGTGTTCTTCTTACAGACAATCATGCCCAGCTATCCCGGGCATCCCTAAGGATCCGAATCCTGGATGTGAACGACAATCCCCCAGAATTGGCCACGCCCTACGAGGCAGCTATCTGTGAGGATGCCAAACCAGGCCAGGTACCACCAGGGGTTCGGGACTGAGGGTTGCTGCCAAGACTGGCCAGGGGCACCCTCCATGCAGGCTGAGAGTGGACTCAACCTCACCATCAGCTCCCTGCCCCCTCTTCACCCTTCAGCTCATCCAGACCATCAGTGTGGTGGACAGAGATGAGCCCCAAGGCGGGCACCGCTTCTATTTCCGCCTGGTGCCTGAAGCCCCCAGCAACCCTCATTTCTCTCTGCTTGACATCCAAGGTGAGTTATCTCTGAGCCAACAAATCCTCAACTGCATGGAGGGAGGGGCCTAGCCTTCTGCCCTCTTCCCTTGTCACAAATGGAGGAACTGGGGCCCCTAGAAGCCAGTGTTGGGTCTAAGACTACACAGAAAATCTGGGCCAAACCAGAGCTGCCACCACAAAGAATCAGCAGGCTGTGGCCTGGCAGAGTGGAGAGGGGGCACCCCAAGAGTGAGGAATGGTAGATGGGAAGATACAGAGAGGGGATAGATGGAGGGTGGTTGGGCCCAAGTCCAGGCCGGAAAGAGCTCCTGTTCTAAGTGAAGATTGAAGTAAGCCACGTATACACGCTCCCTAACATGCAGTTTAAGAAGTGCTTTATCCCACTCGCACTTCCCTTTGCACCCTCACAGCTGCTCTGGGAGATGGTTTTCCTACTCCTCTCCCCATTCTGCAGGTAATGAAACAGAGACTCTAAGAGGAAAAGGGATCTGCCCAGGGTCATACAGGGAGTCAGTGATGGGGCTGGGATTCAAACCCACACCTGTCTCAGGTCCAGTGTGCTCCTTCCTTAGCTCATTACCTTGAAAGCAAACTGCCATCCAACCTGGGCTGAGTCCATGAGTCCATGGTGAGACCCTCTGCCCACCTCCTCCATCCACCTCCCCGCCCCCACCCCCACCCCCCGCTACAAGTTCCTCATGAAGTTGAAGTTTGAACCTTTAAGGAATGCACTGAGGGGAAGGTTGGTGTCAATGGACTAGGAGTGAGGGACCTGGGTCCCAGCCCAGGCTCAGTTGATGACTTTCTATGCAACCCTGGCAAGTGTCTGTGCCTCTCTAAGCCTTAGTTTCATATCTGTGGAATGGGGCTGATAACGCCTACCACCCCGGGTGGCTAGATGGCCCCAGTGAGAAGAGGGCTACCAAGGTATATTGTTATACCCAGAACGTGTCACTTCCTACAATTGAGCAATTATTTATTGAGTATATTACTGAGCATTTGTTGAGACACAATGTCTGTGTGTCAGGCTCTGCTCTGGGCCCTGGAAATGCAATGGCAAACATCACAAAATCCCCACCCTCATGGTGGTGATGTTCTAGTAAAGCAAGACAGAAATTAATATTGGGGATGATACGTGGCAAGGGGTGGAGGAATGATGCAATCTCCACAAGAGTCTGGACTTAATTTTGTTCAGTGCTGGACCCTGGGTGCCTAGAGCAGTGCCTGGCACATAGTAAGTGTTCAATAAAATGTGCAAAATGAAACAGTGAAAATTAAAGCAGATTAAGAGTAGAAGCTGTTTTAGATAGGGTGGCCCACGAAGGCCTCTCTGAGAAGATCCATGGTGAGTAGGAATCAAAAGGAAATGAGGGAGTGAGCCATGGATATAACTGGACACAAAACCATCCAGGTGGAAGAAACAGCAAGTGCAGAGGCCTTGAGGTGGGGGCAGGGCTGGGATGTTCGAGGAACAGACCTTAGTGGCTGGAGCCAGTGAGAGACAGAACCAGGAGGAGATGTAGTCAGAGAAGCACTGGGGACCAGATCATATTGGTTCCTTCTGGACCTGGATCACCCTCAAGATCTTGACACCCTCCCCCACAAAAGGTGCGGCTTTAGTGGCCTCTGAAGCCAGACCCACCTGTATTCCCAGGAGTCATATTAGAAATATTCAACAAGTCCAGCTCAGATAACCAAGAAAGGATGTTGATGTAACCTGAAGCAGGACCCGAGAGCCCCTACTGTGCCAACCACTAACCCCGTAGTGGCTGATTGTGTCAAAGTTGGGAAGATGCCTGGAGGAAAGGCTGAAGCAGCAGGGAAGGACTTGAGGGGGCCACAGTCACAGCTATTTAAACCTTTTTGGAAGTATTTTGATATTTTCACAGCCAGTACAGCCCTGCCTACTCATTATGCCAATGGTATCCTGAGCTGGGCCCAGGGGACACAGATAGCCCTGGCTCTGCCTCACGAAGTGCACAAGTCTTTCCAACCCAAGGGGCCTGAGGTTCTGCCCCAGCTGCTTCTCTTTGGCTGGGGGCTGGCAGAGCTCCTATCCAGTGTATAAAGCTTGAGGCGGTGGCGGGGGAGGGTAAAGGACAGGGTGGCAGCAGTGTGCTGAGGTCAGAACAGCCACGGAAGGTCCCCCTTCCAGTCCCTTAGCCCCCTTCTGCAACATGCCAAGCCCCCTCCTCCTCACCATATAAATATCCTAGGTGACAAAAGGCTACCCCAACCCATCTGTTTCTTTGTACAAATTTGTAGCCAGTTTGGAAACGTGATTTATAAATATTGCTTTTGCAGCCAGGGATTGACACTGATGTATGTCAGGCCAGATGGATGGATGTAGTGCTGGGCGCAGATCCCACCCACAAGGGTGGGGTAGGGGTCTGGGGAGGCCAGCAGCTCCCCCAACCGAAGCCAGCTGCTGCCCAGGATGGCAGCTTGAAGGGTTCAGGGAAATGATGCTCTAGGATTCCCTGTTATGGGGTGGGGAAGTGGCAGGGACCAGAGCTCTCAGAACATATGGTTCCATGGCCAAAGACAGCAACCCTGAGAGACAAATATCTCTCTTCTTGCTCGGCAATTTGAGGTTGAACCAGTGCCAGCCTCTCATTTCTCAAATCTGCCTACTTCTGTGTGCCTTCATTACCACTATTTTCTCATACCTAAAACACACAATAGCTTCACAAATGGTCTTCCACCTCCACTCCTGTATTTCAGATTATCAGCTGCCTTATAATGTATGCTCAGCAAGGATAGGGACCATATCTGTCTTGTTCATTGCTGTATCGCCAGGGGCTAGAATAGTCCTGACATATAGAGCGCTCATTTCATATATGCTGTTGAATGAATGGATGATATGTTGCTAGGTCACTTCTTTGCTTAAAACACACCAATCACTGGCCTCCCATTGCTTTTAAGAAAATAACCCAAATTCCTTACCATGGACTCCAAGACCTCCCCTGATGAGTTCCTGTCTCCCCCTCCAGCCGAATCTTGACTCATGCTAGCTATTGCTCTCACCCCTCCAGCCAGAGAACTGCTTTCAGTTCCTTGAGTGTGTTATGCTTCTTCCAAACTCAGGGCTTTTGCACGGGCAGCTCCCTCTCCCTGAACTCATCATTCAGGGCTCAGGAGTAATATCACTTCTTCTAACAATCTTTCCCTGACCTCCAAGCTGGGTCAGGTCCTCTATTACGTGCTCTTCCTATACTTTTCCTTGGGAGCATTCATCATCATTCCATGGTTGGTAATTGTAGACTAAATTGTGGGTTTACTTGATTAACAGTTGTCTCTCACACTAGAATATAAGCTCTGACCCAGGGCTATGGTTGGCTTAGCTCTCTATCATTTTCCCCCAGTGACTAGCACGGTGCCTGGCACATAGGAGTTAATATAAATTTGTTAGATGAATGGAAGGAAGGAAAAATTGACAGATTGTTGAGTTGACGAACGGAGGATTTCACTGGATAAATTCAGACAAGCCACTTCTCCCTGAACCTGAATTTCCCTATATATAAAATGGAGATAATGCCACAACTCTTGGTAGTTGTGAGGATTAAACATTACTATGTATCTAAAGTACCCACACCTTCCTTGATGCATAAAAGGCATCCAGTCAATGCAAATGATCCCATGTCATTTCCTCTGTTCCCCCTCCTGCCCTTGAATCACTCTTCCCCAGTGGAAGGCAAATGTTTTCACAGCTGGGGTAAACTCACCCTTTGGCAGGAGGGCTAGAGTTCAAGCCAGAGCCTGAGGAACTGACCCAGGATCACCAGTTAGCCCAAAAGTTGTGGTTCATTCAAGCATTGTTCAAGACTGGCTTAGTGCCAGGCGCTGGCTGGCTGTGTAGTGGAGAGACAGGCACACACTAACTTAGTGCAACGTGACAAGTGCTGTAACAGAACTGTGCATGGCACCTGAGTAGTCAGAGCAGGGAAGGGGGAGCCATAAATCCTTCCTTCCCAGGGAAGCGGAGAAAGGAGGCCACATAAAGGAGGTGACATTTAGCTGGAGCATGGCGGATGAGGAATTTGCCCAGGCAAGAAGGTGGAGAGAGTGTTCCAGATAGTGGGAGCTTTATGAGTAAAGGCAGGGCCCTAGACACGCAGCAGCTGTATGGTGCAGTGTAGGGGAAATAGGGTGGACTCTGAAAAAAATATTAACCAGCATTTGTTGAGAATTTCTATGTGCTGGGAGCTATTCTAAGGGTCATGCATGAATCATACCATTTAATCCTCAAACCTATGCGATATTCTTTTTCTCAGTTTACAGATGAGGATTTTTCTCAGTTTACAGTTACAGATGAGGTCCGAACAACCTAAGTGAGTTTCCCAAGCTAGTAAATGACAGACTTGGCATTACTGTTTAATATTTTTATGGAAATTTTCAAATGCGTGGGAAAAATAATATAATGAGCCCCCATGCGCCCATCACCTCGTGCGCAATCTTCATCTCATGACCACTTCCTAGATGTGCCCCAGGTCACAAGTCAGTCTGTCCAAGGGCTCCTTTTCCTGAATTGTGTCCAAGATGAGGAAGGCCAGATCTGGAACACTGAATTGGGGGATGCTGGGGAAGGGACTGAGTTAACTGGGGCCACCAAGCTGGGGAAGGAACCCAGGCTGCAAAAGTCTCAGGTCAGAGAGACCAACCTGAAGACTGCAAGGGCAGAGAGAAGGACTGAAGAGCCCCCAGCAAGAAAGCAGGGCCCCCTTCTACAGAGTCGGCTGTAAAGGGTGGGGACAGCAGCCAGCTGGGCTCTGAGCATTTCATACCACCACGTTGTACAGAGCCAAGAGGAGCTATCAAAATGATGGAGGGTCGGTATGGCCCTACTCATACAGAACAGGTGTGGAGGAGGCTGGAAGGGCAGAGGAAGTGGGTACCACCTATCACCAAGTCCAGCCTGGCTTTCCCAGCAACAGGCTGAAGCAGCGCAGTGGGTACCATGTGTGTCCATTAACTCTCCCCTCTGGCTGCCTGTGTAAAAAGGAAGATGTGGGTAAGGAGACCTTGTCACTCTAGAGTCCACTCATCAGGCCCCTGCGGCCATACCCCCAGCCCACTAGACTCAGAGAGACTTCTGAGCCGGCTCCAGGATGCTCAGCTGGTCTCGGGGTCTGAAGGACAGAAAGATCCCTCAGCCAAAGTCAGATGCCAGCCAGCATTCTCAGTCCTCGCTGATGACCCAGGATTTGTCAGGGCCCAGCAAACCACAACCCAAGGACCACAGGACTCCTAGGGCCAAAATACACTGGGCAGCTGGGGTAGAATCTAGAACAAAAGCAGGCTGTTGAGACAAATGGCCAAAAAACCAAAAATTGACATAGTCAGGGACAGGACCTTGGCCCAGCTGAGGAGAGAATCTTGGAATAGCTGGGGACAGGACCTTGGCACAGCTGGGGACAAAATCTTAGAATAGCTGAAAATACAATCTTGAGACAGCTGGGAATAGAATCTTGGGGCAGCCGAGGACAGAATTTGTGGGCTATATGGCTGGAGACAGGCTCTTCGGGCAGTTGGGGGCACCATTTGGGAACAGCTTGTAACAGAATTTTGGGAGATCAGGGAATAGACCCATGAGTCAGTTGGGAGGCAGTAACATTGGAACATAGGGAGGCAAATCTCGAGGTGGGATCAGGAGATGGCTAGGACAGGGGAGCTGAGCCCAGGACCCAAGTCACATGCCACACTCTTCTTCTGGAGCAGACAACACAGCTGCAGTGCACACGCAACACGTGGGCTTCAACCGACAGGAGCAGGACGTGTTCTTCCTGCCCATCCTAGTAGTGGACAGCGGGCCACCCACGCTGAGCAGCACGGGCACACTCACGATCCGCATCTGCGGCTGCGACAGCTCCGGCGCCATCCAGTCCTGCAACACCACCGCCTTTGTCATGGCCGCCTCCCTCAGCCCCGGTGCCCTCATAGCCCTCTTGGTCTGTGTCCTCATCCTGGTCGGTGAGTCCACCGAGAGCCACCCACCCCTGCTCAATTGGCTCTCGTCCTGGAGTCCTGGGTTTCCTCACCTAGCCCCCCTGCAGCCTCAGTTTCCCTCTCCATACAAGGATAGGCTGGCCTGAACATCTCCAAGCTCTGATATGCAGCTCCCAGGAGAAATCTTCTAAGTTCGGAGCTGCCCCACCACCAACTCCAGATGTGTCAACCCGACCTGGGACTGAGTTCACACTGGCTCACCCTCTACACAGCCCAAATCGCTCCCTAATTTGTAAAAACCAAGCATATTTTTTTAAAAAATTCTCTCATGTCTATAGTTCTTTTTAATTCTCTACATACGGCTTTTAGTAAAAAGGGCTCTTGTGAACCTTGCAACCACATGGCCAGCTATATCATCCCATTTTTCAGATGAAGAAACTGAGACTCAGAGAGGTTAAATGGCTTGTATAAGGGTACACAGCTGATTTATTTTTAAAGATAACCCTTGACTTGGTTCAGATGAAGAAACTGAGACTCAGAGAGGTTAAATGGCTTGTATAAGGGTACACAGCTGATTTTTTTTTTAAAGATAACCCTTGACTTGGTGCTGTCAGTACCACACTCTCCCAAGTGAGCTAACCAGCCATCCCTATATAGGGATCCGAACCCGTGGCCTTGGAGTTACCAGCCCCACACTCTCCCAAGTGAGCTAACCAGCCATCCCTATATAGGGATCCGAACCCGTGGCCTTGGAGTTACCAGCACCACACTCTCCCAAGTGAGCCACGGGCCAGCCCTACAGTTGATTTTCTGACTTGAAATTAGGTCTTCTCACCCTGTGTCCCCTGCTTCTCTAACTACATCACCTACTATAAATCTAAACTGGGGGCAAAACCTTAGGGCACCTTGGGCAAAATCTCAAGACATTGGAGGGGGTGCAAAATCTACACTAATACCAGTCCCACCAGCAGCCATTTGAATCCCTAATTGTCACCAGTGAAGAGGTCAAGTTTCAGTAGCTAAAATGGATTCCAGTGGCCATAAGCCCCACAAACACAGAAAGACAATGATGCTTCACTTGTGCTTACTGGGCTTCATGGTGCAGCCAGAGCTGGAGAAACTCAAGGGAGGTGTAGATTGCAGATACCAGCTCTGCTCACTTCCCTGAGAGATGCCAGCTGTCTCCCGCCCCTCACTGCCTACCACTGGTGTGGTCACTGAATGGCCTCCAGGGACCTTCCCATGGCCAAGATGTATTTCTTCAGTCCCTACAGAGGCCTTGGGCAGGCTCCTCCTAGCTGGGAGGCCCAGGACCCCCTCCCTCTCCACCCCAGCCCATTGCTCAGAAACTCTTTTTCCAGAGGGTGCACTTTACAGCGGTTTCATTTTCCGAGGCAGTGCAAACAAATTTCTGCCTAATTGCCCACAAACGAAGAAAGTGCACATCACTGCTCTAAAGGTGATGGGAGGAATCGCTGATCAGGCCTGCCACATCTGTCGCCCGCCACTCGCAATCCCCACCATCTGCTCTCACGGGCATCCCCCTCTACAGCTCCCAGCCGCGAGCTCCAAAAGCCATCCATCCATCTTTTCCACTTCTCTCCTGATATCTTCCTTCCCTTGGGTCCTCCCTCTGGACCTGTCCACAGCCCCCACCTCCTTCCCTGTCATAGCCATCTTGTTAGGTGGTGAGCCAGTACCCTACCCCACGGCCCTAGCAGCTGGCTCTGGCCACTGACCCGGCAGGAGCTGTTTGGAGCAGCGAGAAGAGTCCGGTGCCTGGCACAGTACCCAACACATGTCCACTACCCCACGGCCCTAGCAGCTGGCTCTGGCCACTGACCCGGCAGGAGCTGTTTGGAGCAGCAAGAAGAGTCCGGTGCCTGGCACAGTACCCAACACATGTCCATCAATCCATCCATCCATCCACCCACCCATCATTATTTATTTACATATCCATCCAAAGAGTCCCTCTATGTGCTATACTGTGCTAGGCACTGGAGTTCATCAGTGAACAAAAGAGATTTTTAAAGCCCTGAGTAACTAAAACGTTAGGGTTGCTATCACTGAGATGGGGAAGACTGAAGGTGGGAAGAAGGGAAGATTATTTCAACTTTGGATATGTTAAGTTTGAGATTCTCTTGGTCAACCAAGAGAACATGTTATATAGGAAATTGGATGTACAATCTAGATTTCAGGGGCGAGGTCCCAGCTGGAGGCTGAGATATGGGAATTGTCAGCTTCTAAATGGAACTTAACACCATGACTGAAGGAGGGTGCCAAGAGAGGGAGCAGAGATAAAGGACCAAGACCTCAGTCCTGGGACATCTGACATTAAGAAGTCGGAGAGGTGAGAAGTCTGCTTAGAAGACTGAGAACAAGTGATGAGCACAGTGGGAGGAGGAGGAGAATGCAGAGCCCTGAAGTCAAGTGAAGAAAGTGGTCGGGATGATTCATTCATTGACTCACTCTTTCACTCACCCAGGTCTCCATTCAACTCGTCAATCATTCATTCATTCATTCAACAAGCATGCTTCAAGTGCTCACCACATGCCAGGTACCAAGCTACAGGAACATTTCCCAGGTCCTCAAGTTTAACCTGTGTATTTTGGGGTGGGGCGACAGACATGTTAACACAGCAGCGTCTGGTTTATGATAGAGCTGTGGCTCTGAAACTTGAGCTGCCTCTTCATCACAAGGAGGCCTTATTAAAACACAGACTGCTGGGTCCCACCCGGTAGTTCTGGGGCAGGACCTGAGTATTTGCATTTCTAACATATTCCCAGGGGATGCAGCTGTTGCTGGCCCAGGGGCCACACTTTGAGAACCGGTGTTATAGAGGAAGGAACCTCTTCCCAGGGGACCTTGGAGGTGAAGGCACTCAGCCTGGCCTGGGGCTCTCAGGGAAGGGCTCCTGCTGGCCTTGACCAGAGACCCAAAGGCCTGAGAGGGAGCTCAGGGCTTCTGGAGTGAACAGAGAGGGCACAAGTGAGAGAGGTCAGGGTCAAGGGCATCTCTCACTCCCCCAGCTCCATCTGTCTCTCAGCTGCACCCTTCATACTCCCCAGCACCTAGTCCTCAGAGTGTATCTCTTCATAGACTTAAGAGTGGAGACCTCGGAGGTTGAATCCAGCCCTCAACACCTGTGGAAACCCTTAACACTGCTCTCTGTTCACCACCCCCACCCTCAGTGGTGATCTAGTCTCCGTTTGCATACCCCCCGAGATGGGAAGCTCACTACCTATCCGCAGTCAGCTCGGTTCTGATTGTAAGAGGTGGAAATCTAGGAAGATTTGCACGATGTTGAGGCTGGGCCCGCTCCAGGGCGAATGGCGGGGAGGGTTGGTGGGTCTCGATAATGCTCTGGGCGGGGCTCGGCCCTCACTCGCCCCCTCTGTTTCCTGCGCAGTGCTGGTGCTGCTGATCCTCACCCTCAGGCGCCACCATAAGAGCCACCTGAGCCCGGACGAGGATGAGGACATGAGGGACAACGTCATCAAATACAATGACGAGGGCGGCGGCGAGCAGGACACCGAAGCCTACGACATGACGGCGCTGCGGAGTCTCTACGACTTCGGCGAACTCAAGGGCGGCGACGGGGGCGGCGGCGAGGGCGGGGGC